GGAGTGAGTCCCCCCATTCCCTCTCCCCCCCTCACCCCTCCCTCCCTCTCCCCAGCCGCCTCCCCTCCCCGGACCATGCCGGACCGTGACGGCCGCGACGGCTACGCCGGCCCCGGCGGCGGCGGCAGCGGCGACGAGGCGTCCTCGGGCGCCGACGACATCTGCCGCGACTTCCTGCGCAACGTCTGCAAGCGCGGCAAGCGCTGCCGCTTCCGGCACCCCGACATCTCCGAGGTCACCAACCTGGGCGTGCGCAAGAACGAGTTCATCTTCTGCCACGACTTCCAGAACAAGGAGTGCGTGCGCCTCAACTGCCGCTTCATCCACGGCACCAAGGAGGACGAGGATTCCTACAAGAAGACGGGCGAGCTGCCGCCGCGCCTGCGCCAGAAGGTGGCGGCCGGCTTGGGTTTGTCGCCGGCCGATTTGCCCAACAGCAAGGAGGAGGTGCCGATCTGCCGGGATTTCCTCAAGGGGGATTGCCAGCGCGGCGCCAAGTGCAAGTTCCAGCACCTGCAGCGGGACTACGAGTACGAGGCGCGGGGCCGCGAGCAGGGGCTGGGCCCCGGCGGCCGCCGCTACGAGCCCTACGACGGCCTCTACGAGCCTGACGAGCCGGTGCTGAAACGGCGGCGGGCCGAGGGGCTCTACGAGAGCTACGAGTACGGCTTCGCCAGCCCGCGGGCCGTGGAGTACCGGCTGCTGGAGGAGGAGAACGTGCTGCTGCGGAAGCGCGTGGAGGACCTCAAGAAGCAGGTCAACAACCTGCTGGCCACCAACGAGGTGCTGCTGGAGCAGAACGCTCAGTTCCGCAACCAGGCCAAGGTGATGACGCTCAGCTCCACGGCCACGGCCACCGAGCAGACTCTGGCGCCCACGGTGGGCACGGTGACCAACTACAACCACAGCATCGCCCAGACGCACACCACGCTCAGCAGCCAGGCCCTGCAGCCTCGCCCCGTCACCCAGCAGGATTTGGTGGCGCCGGCGGGCGCCCAGGCGGCCCCTCCGGCCAACGCCGCGCCGCCCATGAACCCCGAGATCGCGCCGCTGTCGGCGGCGCTGGCGCAGACCATCGCGCAGGGCATGGCGCCGCCGCCCGTCTCCATGGCGCCCGTGGCCGTGTCGGTGGCGCCGGTGGCCGTGTCCATGGCGCAGCCGCTCGGCGGCATCACCATGAGCCACGCCACCACGCCCATGGTCACCTACCCCATCGCCTCGCAGAGCATGAGGATAACGGCCATGAGAGACTGACCGCTGGGGACGGACGGATGGACGGACGGACGCGGCGCGGGGTGTGCCACCCCCTCCCGGTGCTGGAGGGGGGCGGTGGGTGCGGCCCCCGGAGCGCCGTGGGCGGACTGAGCGCCGGGGGTGGCGCCGGGGATGGCTCCCGGTGCCCTGTAATGTTTTCGGCTATTAAAACAAACAAAAAAAACCCAAAAAAAAGCCCAAACCCGCACGGGCCCGGCTGTGCCGGTAGGGCCGGGGAGCTGGGGGGACACCGGGACACCGGGACCGGGACCCGGACACCGGGACCGGGACACCGGGGCAGCGGGGGACGCGTGACGTGGCCACGCCCCTCACCGAGACCACGCCCACATAGTAAATAAAGGCGTGGCCAAGATTTGGCGGACTGCCCATGAGTGACGCGCGTGGGCGTGGCCGGGGGGCCCGCCGCTCAGTGGGCGTGGCCACGATCTGGCTGGCGTCCAACGGGCGGTGCGTGCGTGTGGGTGGGCGTGTCCCGCGCCGCGCCGCTCGGCCAATCAGCGCCGCGTGCGTGCGCGGGGCGCGGCCGGGGCGGTGCCGCGGCGGGAGCGGCGGAGCGGGCGCGG